AAGCAGACTTTTAAGCATGATTATATTAGTCTACTAAACCTTATATGTTTAATAAAACCAAGGAAAGGAATTCTGAATGTTTATAAAAAAAATCAAGTTGATTTAAATTTAAAAAATCAACTGATTTAAATCAACCTGATTTAAATCAACCCAACCCTGGGTGGGATCTTAGGTGGAGACTACCGTATATTTAGTCAGGGTAAAATTGACTTTGAGATGCCATTGACTGTCATTGACTTCATTGTCATTGAGATCATGAAAGCTTTTATTTGAATTGTTTTGTTGCTGGTTCTCTGTCAACAGTGGTATTTTAAAATATTTTTTCAACATCAAGCAGGTTCATAAAAATCCAGGTACTTATATAACCTGTAAAAGTACAAACAATAGTCTCCGCCCTAAACACATGGTGCTTGGGAGGGCTCCTATGCATGTGTTCACTCAGAGCATGTGTTTACTGTTACACAGAGCAAGCTTTTAAGTGGACCTGTGCAAAGGGGGAAAGAGATGCTACCATCTCATTTGTTAAAAAAAACAACCCCACCATGTGAATAATTTTTCAGGAGATAAAAGCAAATGGAGGAAACTTGTGGTTCTGTTTAAAAAATGGACAGAAGTTGAATGTTGATTTTGTCTTGCGATTGTTTCATTTTTACATTGCTGACATATATATGGACAAACAAATGAGAAAATTATTTTTGCCTCGTATCTTTATTGACTAGTCGATATAAATTTCCCATTTTCGACATAACCCAATTGGATAGTCACCAGCTAGTATAGATGAGAGTCTCTGTTGTACTGTGATTGCACTGATACTAATAAAATGCTTCTCTGCTCAGGACCACGTCTATGGATTCAATGGAGAAGGTACCTTGACACCAGTGCTGATGTGGCCTATTTTGCTCTCACATCATGCTCTGGTAAGTTGGGCAACAATTGTTTATTTTCTTTAGTTCAAAAAGTGAATTATATGTGTCCCAACATGGTAAAATCAGGCGCTTGTCAATTTTTTAGCATAATATGGAGTTGCTGGTACCATCTTAAAGCTTGTTCATTTGCTTTGCTTTTGATTTTTAAAAAAAAATACCCATCTACCTTAAATAGAAGTCGAGACATTTGCAATTGAAGGAGTTGGAGTTGCCGGGTTTCAGAGGTAAAATTGGAGAGAAAATAGCTGCCAATGCAAAGTTTGGTGACTTCTATAGCTTGAGAGCCACTGGAAATTGAAAATTTACATTTTTTTGTGCCTTTAACTTTAATCAACGTCTCTCAGTAAAATCTACCGAGAAATATGTTTTTTTTAATGGACGCAAAAGATATTGAGCCAAAGCTGAAAAATTTGATGAAAATTTCTAAACCAGCAGAAATTTTTCAGTTTCATTATTTTGATGAGCGCCTGATTCCACTACAATGCCTCTACATATCTTTTCTCAAAAGACTTCCAATATGAACTTGAAAGCTTTTCTCTAACGACATGCTGGTTTTTTTGTAGTTTCGTGTACTATATATACCTATATATATGTATTTTTTCGTTTTTGTTTGTGCATGTGTGTGTGTGTGTGTGTGTGTTTGTGCGTGTGCCTGCGAAAGTTTTTGCAAAAAAGAATTTTTTTCCCTCATTTGAAGACTTGCACCCATTTAGTACCATACAACAACTGGTTTAGTTGAAAATGATTTTTAAAATTTTATTTTGCATGAATGAAAGCAAAACTGAACCTTTTATCAAAAATGAAAAACCAATAACACATGATGTAGATAGTGATGTAATTTAATAATTTTCAGTTTTAGTGGCAATGGAAGCAGGGCCAGGAAAAACTCTACTAAGACAAATTTAAAAGACGTTAGTAAGCAATATCATATTTGTGTTATATATATAGCAGCAAAATATTATATTTTTCCCCTCTTAACTGCATTTTAAAATGATTCATACATACATTTTTACTTATGCCGATTATAATATCTTCAGCAACAGCAGTCTGTTAAAATTTCCTAATCTAGTGAGCAAAGATTTTCAGGAGAGAGAAAAAAACTCATTATTTTTAACTGTTGTACCTTATTTGTAGGCTATAAATATCTTTCCATGCTTTTTTTTTTTCAACATTTAGAATTTGAATTTTGATGAAATAACTGGAGCTGATGCATTTGATACCACAAATTATGAAACTGCATTAAAAAAATTTTCTCCAAACTTTGACCTCTAATACATTTGAACAGTTGGCCAATGATACTCTACTTACTTTTTGTAGTCAAAATGGAAAGTGTAACACCAAACATTCTTGTTCTAAAACAAGTTCTACCATCTATATTTTCACATGTCTTTCTGAATGGTTCCTTTTCAGAGCTCCAGACTATAGGAGAGGAGTATGTAAGCTTGATACAAACAGACAGCTCCCTGCGGTCATTGCCTCCATTATGGGTGGGTGTTGAGATTTCCTCTTTATTGGCTCTTCTTATGTGACTCCTTTTTTAGATTTTATCAGTGTTCCAAGTGATATCTTGAAATACAGTTCAAATGATTTCTATTACCAGTATGGCATGCTTGAAACTGGCACAATGAGATGTTCACTGAAAGAGATGCTGATTCTTGAGCGTTGACTTTATCGCTTTTTCATATTTGCACCTCTTTTCAAGATTTGTTCAAAACAAAATTCCACATCTGTAATCTATGTCAATCTTATTTGACTTGACAAAAGGAGATTGTTTTAGTACTGTTTAAAGGACTAACATTCTTCTTGTCTTAAGATTTTTAAAAAATTTCAAGGCCTTGGTTTGTTTTGGTTGATATTTGATATATGAATTCAAAAGATTAATTAGTTGAGAATTGTGCCCAGGGTACAGTTGTTATTCAAAGTGTTACGTTTATTTTTTCCTGAGTGGTACATTTTGGAATTTTGAGATTTTAGGTATGTTCATCGAAACAATGAGCCTGTCTATTTGTATTTGAGTTGGACTACATTAGTTGAGAAAGGAGGGGCATTGAGGTTAAAGTTGAAGACAGGCTGTACATTCTCTCAGGAAGGATAGATGATTAAGAAAATAAATGTAGAGAGAGTGAAGAAAAAAGTTGGTCGAGTATAGAGATGAAAGAGGACAACATATACAGGTAAGTAGAAGAGAATGAGAGAGTGAGACATGGTACAGTTGTTATTTTATGGTTTATGGTGGCAACCTGTAACAATGGGTAGAGGATGCAGCCAGAAAGCTGGCTTTTGGATAAAGAGCAATATAAATCTGCATGAAATGTATAGATTTTTTTTAAAGAAGAGGTCATATGAGCACCAGAAGATTAGAGGTGTTACAAGAGAGTAAGAAACATAAAAAAGAAGGAGGGGGAGATAAGGACAATAGATGTTTGATAGGAAAGAAGAAGCAAACCGCACCAGAACACCCGCCAACCACTCACGTATAGATTTGCATATGACGCATTCCGTCACATTCCATCAAAATCATGTATGTGGAAGAGGAGAAGTTCTCCTTGAAAGGCAAATATGCAGTCCGTATTGAAATGCACAGTAGCGTTTATGATTGTACAAAGAGGGAAATATAAAAATGAAAGGGGGGAAAGCAATTATAATATTTTGCCACTGTTGTGATGAGGTTGAATAAAGGATATTAGGTAAATTTTTCAAAAGGAAAAAAAGACAGATTTAGTAAAATGATGGCTTAGAGTTCTGATTTTCACATTGTAAAAAAAAAAATCCACTTTTGCTTGTTTATTTTGAATATGAATTTTTACCCAGCATATGAAACATTCCTTGTAGAATACGTTTCACGGAAAAAAGCAAAATCGAAAGTTTTGTAGTTATTCAATGTTATCACGATGGCGACAATATCTTAACAGTAATGCCCTCCAAAACAAGTTCATCCACATTCACTAAGCTGTTTTGTACTGGAACACTAATTTTTGGCTTCATGTGAAAAGCACTAATACTAATTGTAATAAACTACATGTTTCAAGAAGATCACCTGAGTAAGAGTAACCAGTGAGACGATTAACTTGATAAATACTTTTCGTAGAAATTAATTTATGATAAAATGCTTGTCTCACCTGAGGAGCAAATAAATCTTTTTAAAAAACATTTAAACATCTCTGTAAAAATGGGATTTTGTGTCCTGCAGCTTTATATATTATATGCCTTAATGGTTGTTGGCTTGCTGTTTTCTCTAAAGATATGAACCAATCTGGAAGTGCAAAAGACTTGCCTTCCAGTTTCTGAAGGGGTGCTTCTGAATCTAGGTTGCTCTGACACTTTAAGGTACATGGCATTATCCCATGAAAGAGGAGTCTAATCGGATTTTATGACCTAACAACTTTAAACTTAAAATGTTTTTTTTTAAAGGGGTAAAATTAAAATCTCAATTTAATTTATTGTTTCTGTTGCATATTTTCTCAGCGACGGCTATTCATGGTATTTCTTCAAGTCCTTGCCCCTCATCTGCTCACTTCAGCTTTGGAAAGATTTGAGCAACAGCTGCGACATTCCAGTTCTTTTAACATCCGCTCCAGCTCAAGAGAAACTATATTGGGTTTCCTGCCGCTCGTCCGAAAAGCTGTTACAGTGCTGCACAGACTGCATCTTGCTGCATTTTACATTAATGGTGTCTTTTATCATTTGGCAAAACGGATCTCTGGAATTCACTATGTAAGTACTTGGCTTAGTCTCTTTGGAGTTAACTTCAGAGTCAAAAAGGTCCCACATTAAATGAGGTTACAGTGTTGAAAAGGGCGTTACACCCATGGAGTACAAAATAGAAGGAGAGGGAGAGAGAGTTTGGTTGGTCTGGTCTGGTTTTGATATTCTAGTGCAAGACACTATAGTCTTCCTGTCATTAATCTTCTCCCGGCTATAGGCAACAGGATGCACATATATATATGCGTACATGTTCCTAGATGACTAATCGCAATTGTCCTTGACAGCCACCTGTCGTCGAAGAGAAAAGTTGTTGTCTTTGACAGGTGGGCATTTTGGACAGTGTCATCATAAATAACCGAGAAAAAAACCACAAGGGTGCAAATGGGAAGTGTTTGTTTGTACAGGTGATTTTCTTTGACAGGTGGACATTGGAGCAGGTTTAACTGTGTTTCCATTTATTTATCTCACAGGTTCAATACATGACTAAGGATCGGGGAGCAAGTTCTGTACGACCATTCCAGATACTTGGCTATTTGTCTATTGTCCAGTTTGCCTTCTCTGCTCTTCTTAATCTGTACAGTGTGGTTCAAGCTGTGAAGCAGCAAAAGAAAGAATTGAAGACTTTTGAACTTGAAAGGTACTGGTATGAACAATATAACATTGATATTCAATAATCTAACACTCTCAGTGTATTTTTCAAGATTCTTTCAAGTTTTCAGTTGTCATGTTCTTGCTTTGTTGAACCTAGCAAGGTTATTTTGGATGTTACATCTCTGCATCGAATCCTTCAGTTCTCTTTTGAGATGTTAATCCAATGCTTTATGATGCACATATTTGTAAGTTTTGTTTTGTCATGCCTCATGCCAACCTGATTTGTGGTACTCTTTGAATACTGCTGGCCTTGAATACTAAAAACTGACTAAAGAATCCATTTTAAAAAAAATCGTGTACCAGCTGAAATTTAGACAAAGAATTAAGTCTTTTCTAGATGCATGAATGTTATTATGTTTTCGCTTTCTATTTCTAGCAGTCTTTTTCTAAAAGTCTGAGATATGTTGGTATATTATTGAGGAAGGTGTGGATCTTGTTCATTTGCCATTCTGTTTGCTAAGTGGCTGATTAGTGATTTAATTAATTTGGCAAGGATACTTGAGATACTAATGATTGTAAGTTGTAAGGTTCCTTTTCATTTGGAGCAGTTTTCTTCTTCTTGGATTGGCTCTCATCGGGTGTACTGATTTTTTTGTTTGTGCTTTTTTCCCCCTCCTATGTTTACCTCCAGTGAGAGAAGAGATCAAGATTCTCGGATTGTTAAGTCCAATGAGAAGTGTCCTTTGTGCCTCAGTAGGAGACAACACTCCACATTGACACCCTGTGGACATCTGTTCTGTTGGAAATGCATACATGAATGGTGCCAAAGTAAAGTAAGTCTTTTTTTCTTAAATTATGGAGGATGCCATGTCTTCCATCCAAAGTATATGGGTGGCGAATTTTGATTAGTAAAGAGTTACTCATGAGAAATGACACTGTTTTCTGCAGTCTGAATAAATCAATTGTGTGGCATCATGGTGAGATCAGGCGCTCGACAAAGTAATGAAATTAAAGATACGAACAATTTTTCACCTGTTAGCTAATTATTATTGAAATTTCTTATTTTGGGCTCAGTACCTTTTATGTCCATAAAACTATACGTTTCTGTGTGACTTTTATTGAAAAACATTGATCAAAGGCGCAAAAAAATGTAAATTTGTAGTTTCCAAGGACACTACAGCTTTGAAAATCATCCAACTTTGGTAGACATTTCTCATTAATTTTACCTCTGACTAGGCAACCCTCACCTCCTTAAACTGCAAATATCTGGACTTCTATTCAAGACAAATGGGTATTTTGTTCCCATTAGAAGTCAGGCAAATGAACAAGCCTTTAGATTATATCTATTATATATATCAATAGCTTTATAAGCCCAACACTTGATGAACGCTTAATTCCACCGCATTGCATCACATTTAAGACAATCTGATGATATTGAATCCAATGGTGATACTTACAAAGATATATTAGTCTCCGCCTAAACGCACGGTGCTCAGGAGGGCTCCTTAGCGTGTGTTTATACAAAGCGTGCGTTTACATGAACCTGTGCAAAGGGAGGAAGGGACGCTTCATCTCAATTCCTTGATATTCTAGTGACTTCCCTTGGGGGTGGGAGTAACTTTGGCCGATATTCTTAACCACAGTTGGGGAATCCTTCTCAAAATAGTCACGTGTCGTCACATTATCGGCCAAAGTGACCCCCACCTCCAAGGGAGATCATTAAAATATCAAGGCCTTCGTCCCTTCCTTCCTTTGAACAGGTTCATGTAAATGCATGCTCTGTATAAACATTCGCTAAGGAGCCCTCCCGAGCACCGTGCATTTAGGCGGAGACTACTGTACTCAAGTTGGATGACGAGAATTCTGTGACAAAGCTCCACTAAGTACTAACAGAGTTCAGAAAAATTCTGTCATAGCACAAGGTCCCGGATCTTTTTTTCTTTTCTGTCCTTCATTACTGTGACTCAAATATGTGTAACGCTCTTTCTTTGGGATTTTTTTTTTTTTTTTGAGGAGTGGGGGTAAACCTTCCTGATCTTTAATTTTACATGCCTAAGGTGCACTCTCTTGTCTAGTTGATTATCGAATAAAAATTTTCTGTAATGATATTTAAATAGAGATGTCATTTTGTAACTATAGGTTTCCTCTCTATTCTATTTTCACAGCAAGAGTGCCCGTTGTGCAGAGACCAGTTCCCACCACATCGCATGATTCCATTGCAGAACTATGACCCTCCATAAAGCTGGGATCCTGTTCTAGACATATTTCAATACGTTTTTTTTAATGTGTGTGTTATGAGCGTTAAAAGGAGTCCCTTGAAATTTGCCCACTCACAGTAATCTTAACTCAGAATTGAAAGGTTGGTTTACTAGTAATTGGAACTAAGTGTTTTCATGGCATCTGTTTCTAAGAATCATAGTTGCAGGAAAAGCTGCGCAGGAATCCATGATACTGTTGCTTGGGCTATGATACTGGTCATGATGTTGCTGTAAGAATTGATTTAGCTGACATTGTAGTTTTTGCGGCCGCGGAAAATGGATCAACCGCTCAGATTTTTTCAGAATTTTCAAAAATTTTGCAGCATTATTATGCTTTCAGACATAGAATTGTGAGAAAAACAATTAAACTAAAGTGAGCTGACGACGTTAGAGTGATTTCACTGTCACTGGAAGTTGGAAATTAAGAGTGTTTTATTTTTATTGGAAACAAAATTGATCTAGATGTAGATTCTTGTTAATTTTGTTTTACTAAGATTTTTATGGGCGCTCGCAACTGCATAGGTCATATGAGTACAAAGTCTGCTTCGACTATCAAGAAATAGCAGTTCACAAGAGAGTGACAAATATACAAAAGAAGTAGAGGAAAAAAATGAAGATAGTAAGGATGAGGAAAGAAAAAGCAGCAGTTCCCCCTATTCCCTATGTTATTGCGGCACAGTATGAGCATGATATTGATAAATCAGCCCATTTACAATCATACTGTGCATAAGAGCATGTTAATATCCCCCCTTTGGGAATGGCCTAAAACATGTACAATCAGTAGCACTGCCCTATCTAGATTCTAAATCTATTGTGCATGCGCTATTATATATATTAGGAGTACAGGCGAGAAGGGATTTGTCTTTCAGCAAAAATGGATAAATTTCTTTAAAGGAAAGAATGCGTTGAAAACAAATGCTGCTGAACGTCAGCTTCAGTTTACCAAAAGCACACATGTGTCTGGTGGAAATTTGTTCTGTTAGTACGTATGTAATGTGGTACTTGACCACACCCGTAAATGGACGGTGGATGGGCATTTTTCTGTGTTTATGTCATCTTCAACTGGGTCTTTTCCTTCTGGGGTGTTTCTAATTCTAATTGCGATCTCTACCTCTGACTTTAGAATGTTGGGACTATTGTTGTTGCTTGGTTGTGGTAGGGGTGGTCTTTTATCTTCCAATAATTCTCCTACATATTCCGCCCATCTTCCAAGGACTTCTTTTTTCTCAAATAACATTTTGTCTTCAATGCGTCGTGACATTTAATGACATATATTGCCCAAACTGCCAGCTCACCTGATTTTGAAATTACCGCTAGACAATGGTATCTCATTTCTTTGGGTCTCACTTTTTGTTAGTATTTTTTGTTAGGAACTCGTGTTTCTAGACAAAACTAAAGATTGTATGCTGCTAATTGCTGGTGGGAGGGGGGGGAGTTTACTGTGTCTGTAGTGCTACTTCTCAGCTTATGATTAATTGGTACTTATATTTTTTAAGCGGTATGGAAAAAGAAATTTTGACGTGATCGCAATCCTTGCAGAATTTGATCCTTTTGAGGGTAAAATTCTGCGAGGAATTTTGAAATTTTCCTTTCAGAAAACTACAATGTCAGGTTTAGTCTCTTTTCTTTGACAAAACTGAACATGATCAGATTTTTTTGAGAATTGAAGAAAATATTCAGATTTTATTATCATGTATTGTATAAGGATTTTCTCTTTACACTTTGTTTACAGTTGTTCTGTCGTATCATAGAGCAATCTATTGTGTATGGTTGCTTTTATTTCAAAGTAAAAAATATATGCCTTCCCTTTTTCTAAAACACGCATGTCAATTTTTGTCAACAGTTCTTCTTATTGCAGTAAAATAAAGCAAGTAAGAAGTAAATACACTGAATCAGACAACTTAGTAACTAATTATGGCTTTGTTTCTTACTACCTATTTGTGCAAGCTATCAAATCAGTTATAGTTATTGCTTGCACTTCAAATCAAAATGCCAGCCTCATGCTCGTCGATGTCTCAAAATGGTGAATCACAGCGCACTGTTGCATGTTTTTTTTACATGGATATATTTAAGTCCCCATCAACACAAGTCTACAAAACAAATTGTCCCTTTAAAGACCGATCTATGTTTCCATAGCATCTGAATCGACTGCAGTGTCTTTTCATTTTGTGTTTTAAAATGCTGAGAAAAGAAACTGCTCCAACTGCTTATTATCTCCATTACCCTCCCTAGTGTGGCCAGTTTAGCACTAAGAAATTGTGACCTGACTTGAAAAGAAAAAAAAAAATTCCCAGTGGAGGTATTGACATAGATCGAGTGACCTGTCTTAAGACGACTATGGTACCATTTATGATTTATATATTTTTTTATATTTATAAAATATATCTTATCAAATGTGATAATTATATCGAACTGACCTTAATGTGATGATTGCATCGTATGCAGATAAGTGTGTTTGACAACAATCAACAGGATGTGCACTCATGGTGAAGATTCAAAAGAAAAAATCTTCCAGTTTTGAATATATATATATAATATGGTAAATTCTGTTACACAGCTTTGGTTCTGTTAGGCAGAGGTTGATGTTATGTAGTTTGCTGTTAAGTGGATATCACTGTAGTACATGTCTTAAAAGTAGGCTGACTACGCGCCCCACCCATTCTCCTTCACTCCACTTCCTGTGTGATGTGAGTTTGCACACTTGGAGTGAGAATTAGTTCGTGCAAGTGCAAGTTTAGGTCACACAGCATTATGCGGGCCAATATGAGTGAAAAGGGAGGAGGTGGGATATTGTAACACATTTGAGCCACTTGTATCACTCCATAAAAATGTGCCATAGTAGTACAATGATTCCTCTATGTTAAACTATGTATATAGGCAAAATTGGTACTAACAGCGAAATGACTGATGCAGCTTGACTTGACAGTAATGCCACCATACTATACATGTATATTATAATGTGAGGCAGCATGGTGAAATCAGGCGCTCATCAAAATAATAATGAAAATCAAGAAATAGGCATTTTTCCGCAGATTGGAAATTTTTATCAATTTTTTGTTTTTTAATCCAAAACCTTTCATACTCATTAAAGAGCACATTTGCGTTTGGATTTTTACTGAAAATGTTGATTAAAGGCTGAAAAATGTCCACGGATTCTCAAGATGAAGAAATACATGTAACAACTTTGGCGGCCATTTTCTCGCTAATTTTTCCTATGAAACCAGGCGACCCCCACCTCCTTCAATTGCCAATATCTTGACTTGTTTCCAAAACACGAGGGGCATACCAAAAGTGTTTTACCTCTCCATGAAGGAATAAAGGTATAAGGCTGAAATTTCGGGTGAAAGCCAACAATCGTCTTCCTAGAATGCATGTCGATTTTGGGGAATTTTCAATGTCTGGTTTTACCACCAGCGCACTGTGAGTGAAAGGGAGTATGTTGTTCACCAGTTTCAACATACAAATGAAGAAAATTGAGCACAGGGCAGTAATGAAGTTTTTGTTCTTTCTAGGCAAGCAACTGCAGGATTTTTTAATGAATATATGCATGCCGCATATGGAACTGATTGCCCATCCTATGCTGTGATGAACTTTTGGTGTAAAAAATTCAAATGCAGATCCGTGGGCCTTGGAGGGCTGGTTTCCTGACAACAAAGAGAGGTCCTCTATTCTCTAGGTCTTTTCAAGGTCATACACTGATGGCAAAAATATGTAACTGCGGGAGGCGACTGCACAGAGAAAGACTAAGCTTAGTGCCAAATTTCAGCTTTATACCTTTATTCCTTCTTGGTCGGGTAAAAAACTTTTGGTATGCCCCTCGTAGTGGATATTTTTTTCATCAAAAGCAAGGCAAATGGACAGGCTTTAAGATAAATATGTTTTGTTTTCTCTTTTTCAGGCGCCAATGAGTTATGGTATGGTTCTCTCACTTTTTCTAAAAATGTTTACCTCCGCCGAGTCCTGTTATTAGTTATTCAAGTACAGTGTCAATTATTATTGTATTCGTTGGAGTGAATAAAGAGAAGAAGAAAAAACGAGAACCAAGAATTGTCCCATTTATTCCCAAGGTCTCATCATTATGGTAATTTTTTTGGTCATTTTATGTGGATCCCACTTTATTAGAAATGAGTTTCTGCCCTGCCTATGCTTTTTATCATTTTTACATGTATTTAATGAAAGTGACAGGTGTTTACCTCAATAAAATTCAAAGTTTTTACATTATGAACGTCTTTCATATATTCATGACCATAATTTATCCTAACTTAAAAACGTATGTTCTGAAATGGTCCTTCTTGAATGGTGAAATGAGACCATCCAATAAAAATGTAGATTATCAAGACATTGTTGAACTGTCACTTATTCTACAAGTAGTCATGGATTCAAAAACATTGCTGGTAAGATGAAGGCTATCAAGATTTGTTGTTCCTAATATTGCAACAAACATATAACATGATTTCTGACAATTCAAAACAGGTGGTACAAGTAAAAGGATGATTACTTTTGCCATTGACTTGAACTTGAATGGATCGAATTAGTATTTGCATTAGATGCCAACAATGAATTCAACATTGTCTTGATAAGTAGTAGTAGCCTACATAGTAGTAGTACAAGAGGCAGAAAGAAATTAGTAGAGCTGAGAATTACAACATGTGAAATGTGATGCCTTAGAAAACCAGTAAACAAGACCAGGTGAGACAAAATTAGAAACACAGTAATCAGAGAAATGGTGGGCACAAAGGATAGGATGTCATGCATCACATCCAACACCAAAGAATCAAATGATTAGGACATCTGCTCATGCGATTACCAACACACCACCCAGCACAACGTGCCTACATAAAAAAAAATTAGGTGTCAACAAGGCTAGAACTAGAGGGTGACCGAGAAAGACCAAGATAGAAGAAGTCAGAGAAACATTAAACAACTCACGGCATCCCCCTGACCCAAGCTCTCCGCCTGATGGTAGAGAGTCAGCAGAGAGACGTCTCTTTCTTCCCGCGACACCCAAAAGGGTATAAGCGGCGGATAAAACTAAAAAGTAAAAGTAAGTTTAGAAAGTAAGGTGAAAATGGCCACAGAATCATTGCATACATGTAATCTCATTTTAATAATCGAAATTTAAAAAGTTTCACATGAGATGCTTACGCTACATAAGGGAGCTACTTTTCTAATTACTTTCGAAAAAGAAATGTACTTTTTTCCAACAATGCACAGGAGAAGAGTTGACCCTTTTGAAGAAAGCTCCATCAAGATTTTGCAAACACGCTTTCACTTTGTGGATTAAGTTTTTGTCTTTGTCAAAATGTTTGCCAGCCAAATTTTTTTAAGTCAGAAAGGACCAAATGAAGTAAGACTATGTAGAGGTTGCAGCAAAATGCTATACATGACATGTGTATAAAACCTCCCAGCCATACTTTTGAATCCACTTTTATGACATGATGTTTGCAGTTTACAGGCCTGTGCAGAGAAGGAATTGTCATGCTGCACAATCATAATATAATAATATTATGACATCATTTCTAATTCATCCCTGTCTCTTCTGTCAGATTGACCCCAATAACGGTACATATACAGTGGAGACCTGATATAACAGGAATGGTGGGACCAGAGAAAAAGTCCTAGTGTAATACCAGATCCCTGTTAAATCAGATATATGCAAGGGAAATAAGCCTGTGTGGCCTAATCCAGCTGTATTTATTCATGGGTAGTTTCCATTGCCACAAGTACCACGTACAGGGTTTTGGCCTTGTGGCAGGCCGGCGCATGACACATTACGCGTGCGTGTAGCTTGGCTTAGGGCTAGATCGAAGTCTGCAGCACACCGCAGCCTTCTCTCGCTGCGTATGCTTGCAGTGGCGTGTGTTGCGAGAGCTTGCTCCATCACTGCGTTACTCTCTCTTACTTTTTACTTTTACTACATTGTTAACGAGCCTTGGTCCCTGCTATAACAGATTGGGCACCGAAGAGGCCTTGTTATTGCCGATAACTTTTAATAGAGACAAAGAGTCGGAAAAAACGGGGATTTAAAAATCACTTTTATTACCAGATCCCTGTTATTAGTTATACTCTTACTGCTGCGTACTAAAATATAATATTTACACAGTGGAAACCATATATATAAAACAGGCCCTGTAAATGGCCTTAACTCATTCAATAAATTTTTTGTTACTGCCACTGAAATCACCATCTGTCCCAACCACATTAAGTACATGTACAATGTACCACCAGACCAACCATGCATCATTCCAACCAAAAGTGTCTGGGATTCCTGGGCATACGCTTCACTTTGTGCTCTTTTTCTGTCAGTAGTTCAGGGACACATTTAGCTGATACTGATACTTTGCGATATTCTGACTGTATCACATTTTGATAGAGATACAAGCAGTTGGTGGAAGCTCAAGTGTCAAGGCAAGGCAATAATAATGATGAATATCTCGCACTTTGATACTTTGAGACGCCTATCCTCTAACTCTAGGAAAAATGCATCTTGTTCTTTTGTGACATTAAAGTGTTTGTGGCCATCCTGAACACTGTTTGGCCCACTTTCAAGTTCAAGTTTTAAAACCCCTTTCTCTGATGCTCTAGAAAACTGCACCATCAGTTTACATCATGTAGGCCTACCTGTTTTCAACTCATCACATTATTGTCATATATGCGCCCGCAAATTCAGAGTGAATATCAGATGGGTGGCTCACTTTAATATGGTTAAAAAAATCGAGCAATAGCTCAAATTTCATTCTTTCCTCAATGGTGGTAATGATGAGGTGAATGAGCGAGTTTGTGCATGTAAATATTGGCAAAAGTTCCTCCATACTATCCTTTTTTAAACTTCTTACAAATAAAGTAAGAAGTATCAATAAATCTGTGGATACCCCTTTTGCTTTTACGAAAAACCTTTGCATTATAATTATTTCAAGAAGGTATACACTTGTATCACTGTCGGATTTTATGTTTTCAGTGTATGATTCATGATGTAGTATGTAGGCGGCGCCTCTGTTTTGCCCTGCAGTACAATTATCTCTTCTACTTCTACAACTACAAGCATAGCAACCAACAACTGGCAGTGACTGCACCAAGCAGCCAATCATCTTGAAAACACTCCAATAATAAAAGGCCAGTTATTGTTCTTTTCTTTCAAAGCTGAAAATTCAGACATGATTGTAAGGCCCATTCTGTTTAGAAATAGATCGCTGCTTGCAGTGACTGATATCTAATTCAAAAATCAACTTGGAGACAGGTTTCTCATGGTAGTGAACTTTATTACTATTATTAGTGATCTTGTCGTTTGAACGTGTGTTGTAATGTAGTAAGTTCAGTGGGCAGGTAACTGATGACTTATCAATAGGTGAACAGGTAATTCACAGGCTCTGCATCAGTCTTATTATATGTATAGCCTTGCAGTGTTGGTAGGGGTGTTAAAATGCATATGGTCTCCTTTGGACATAATGATAATAAAGGCATTCTGAGTGAATCCCACCAGCGGCCAACATGTCCTTGAGAAAGGCAGTTTACAATTTACATAAATGAATTTTCCTCACTTCACCCAGGTCGTTTTGTTTTAGTAGAGGTTCTACGGCACTCGCAACTGCATAAGGTCATATGAGCGCCAGAAGATTAGAGGTGTCACAAGAGAGTAACATACATACAAAAGAAGGGGAGATAAGGACGATAGATGTTTCATAGGAAAGAAGAAGCAAACCACACCAGAGCCCCCGTCAACCCTGGTTATAGTTATATAGACTTAACACAAGTCATTTAAAGCTTGCACCGTGTGCTTCCCAGAAAGCAGTGAATATATCTGAGTTGTGTCTCAGTCTCAGGGCCTGCTGGCATAATAATAGTGGTAAAGAGCATATATAAAGTGCTTTATAAACACAGGTACATATTAGTAATAATACTATCTTGGCACATGAAAGAGGCAGATCTAACCCAGATGGACATAAACCATGGTAGAGCAGATCAACTGTAGAAAGACTGCTGGGGAGGAGTGATGGTGATGTCCCCCTTTCTCTCACCAGTATCCAGTTACAGGAAAAATTGGCAAAATTTTCACTTCTGTGTGCAAAGGGTTTTCTGCTTGGACGCCGTATCTTCTTTGGTCCAGATAGGCAGTGTAGAAAAATCTAGCCTCTTTAATTAATGAGCCACGTCTAAATTGTGTCGAAGGGGCATGAGTCATAATGTACCTGGTACACAATCAAATAAAATCTACCTCTCATCTTGTGCTTTTATTTATTTCTTACTTAGACAACCAGGTTTGAACTTTGTAAAAGAAAAATAAACCAAGTAAGATTTGTGTTGATAGAAGAAAGCTGGCACCACCTCAAATTGTTGATGTTAATCATAATCATAGACTTCCATAGTAAAACATATAATTTGTGATTGCATAGATGGAAGGAAAAAAGAACACACCTCTTTTAAACCTATATTCGAGTTGGAAACTCAAAAGGGCTTACTTAAATATATAGCTTACATGAGCTGAACGGGGCACTGCAACCTGATGCCGTAAAGCCAATCGTCCTCATTTCTGCTTTCATTTATTGAAACTTTGAACGAGGTGAACTTCATTGTGAAAATGTAAATGGATTTTGAAGACTCACCAGATGCAAGTATTACTGTGTCAAAAAGGTTTGACAGTGTACCAGGTAGGGGCACACTGAATTAAAGAATGGCAATACAATATATTACAGTAAGTGCATGCCACTGAGGTACAGTAGAAGATGGCTATAGCGGGACTTTTATTTCCAGAAGAAAAATCCTGCAGTAGGCAAGTTCCCGCTATAGGAGTGCAAAGGGGAATTACCGAAAAATGACACACTATACGCTCTCCTCGTCTTTTACTGCCTTGGGCCATGGCTCATCACTTTTGGAGTGGCTGTGGCTCACGTAACGCGTATCTCTGCCGCCTGCCCACTTCACCTATCACTGGAATGGCCAATCACAACGCCGCACCGCTGATTGTCTGTTTGGAACCCACCTACAGACCCCCCCCCCCCCCCCCCCCCCCCCCAACTAGAGCTCCCTCGATCTCTCCTGCTGTATCCAAGTTCGGGCCTTTCCTTTCCCCGTTACATCCAAGCACAGTTAATTGAGTTTACATAGAGACAAAAATAAGGGATTCCAGAAAGGTCCTGCTACATATAGCCAATAGGCATGTTCTACTGCCCAACAATGACAAGCCATCTTTTGGATAAAGGTGGTCACAGATCGCCTAAATTATCAAAAACGTTAAGTCAGTTCAACACAGGTACCAATCAAGACAGTAAAAAGAAAACAACAAACTGCTTTTTTTTTGGTTGTTTAAAAAAGTGCATCATGTATTTATCGTTCGCATATACAATCATCATATCCCAAGCAAAAGCCTAGGGCTAAAAACAAAAAAAGGTAACAAACTATCCACTATCCTGGTCATGTTTTTTTTTCTAAGCCAAATGATGTTATATGCCATTTAATTTTGCCTAGGACCAGGAAAACTTGTGACAATATTTGTTTTTACTATATGATGAAGATGACTACAGAACAATGCTCATTTGGGGTACAAGCAAATAATAAATACGACCTCCATCCATCAAACATCCACAAAGACAATCCCCATGTGCAACAGTCTGTGGCAAGCCTAAATCCCTCGCTCCAAACTGTCTGTCCATGCGGACAGGCATCAATCTCTCACTGTTCATAAAGCCAGACTATTTACTTGGTTGCTACTTCCAGGTACGCTATTAAATCAGCACGCTCGTTCTTTTTCTTGAGCCCAGCAAACACCATCTTGGTTCCAGGAATATACTTCTTGGGGTTCTCCAGGTACTCGAACAGGGTATCCTTACCCCATGTAATCCCTGTCAGTTCGGGGGGAAAAGAAAAAAAAGTAATTTATAAGAAAACGGAACATAATGCACTGCACATGTTAACTCATCCAATTTGTAACAACGTTCGTAATAAATCTTGACTTGTCTAAGGATTTTAATAATAATAAGCTCACCAACGTAAAAAGGGGACAGGTTGCATCCATTTAAAAGAATGGCCAATTAGCCAGCTTTCTCTCTATCCTTGTCACAGACAACAGGGATCATGTACTATTTGTTTTGACAACTGTAAGTGTAAGACGAACTGCAAGATATCTGGTAAAAAAAATATGCACATCATGACAAGACACTTCTCTAAACGCATAATGAAAACACTACAGTTGTCTCCGCCTAACATCCCAGTGCTCGGGAGCAAGAAAAATATGGGATCTTAGCCGACGCACCAAGGGAAGGATATACGGCACAGTGACCCATGTAAAGGCCCACAACCGGTAAAATGGTCTCCCTTCACTCTAAAATGATCTGATGAGAACCCTGGGTGGGTTTATGACATATGGCCAGCAAAGAGCAGTCAATATTAGGTGGAAATTACTGCAGTACAAGACAAATGTGTCCCTGCTGTAATGTAAAACATTTTAAAGAGAACTCGCCACTAAAAGAAAACAAACTTTTCGCACCCCAAGGTACAGTGGAACTTCGATTCAACGAGGTCGCCGGGCATGACCTAAAAGCATGTTGAATCTGAGTGTTCGTTACAGCAAACAGATGGTTTTGTGTGGATAATTACAGGCACTGAGCAAGCCATGTATAAAGAAAAGAAACAATTGGTGTCTGAAATGCCTGTATAGAGCTATTATGAGCTGTGAAAAAAGAAAAAAAGAAAAAAAGAAAAAAAAAGACCGATTCGTTCAAATGCACACCTGTGTCATTTGGATTGTTTGCCAAAAGGTTGTGTTGCTGTGTAGAGCCTAGCCTAGCATACGGCAACTTTAGATTCCGTAGACCAGCGCATAATTTATTATGTAGACCTACGTCAAGACTAGCTCATCATCGTAACAATGATTAGTTGCTGGAGGAAAAAAGACCGACGCATTTGTATAGACTGCGACGCTCCACGCCTGGACCGCTGCTCCCCCCCCCCCAACACCCACACACAGTCATACATGTGCAGGCCGCCCATCCGCCCCTGACACACACGTGCCAACAACGCATGTGTGAGTATGAAAGAAGGCCGCTGATTGGTCGCATGCAATCGGCCGAGTCAATAATGGTTCAAACGCAGGAGCAATGGATGGTTTCCGGGAATAGATAAAGTTCGTCGTTGGAGAAAAATGAACGAAGTCACATCTGCTGGGGCTGTTCACCCTGGAAGCCATCTCGTTGAATCTGAGCTTGCTGATTCAAGTGCTCGTTGAATCAGGGTTATTTTAAAAATTGATTTTAAAGAAAAAACAGGGTCCAAATCAGAGTTCCACTGCATGCGCACAGGAACTCAAATTACTGATCACATTGCCTGAAGATTATGGGACTTTTTTTTTCAAATGAGGATTATTTAATGTCTAAGTCGACAATTTAGATCATTTAGGAGCCGACCCAGTCTATCAGGGCCAACTTGGAATGAGAAGGATACATTCTGGCAGAAAGACCAAAGATGCTCAACAAAATTTTCCCACTAGGGTATCAAAGTGAAGTCAGATCTGCTACATGATGTGACAGCCAAGCACCTTATCTCTACACCATTAAAGACTAATGCCAGTAAGCTTATTTTTAAATAGTCTTGCACGCACAAAGTGAACAGATTTTCTATCCTGAATTTTTTAAAATAATCAATATAATATATCTGTACCGTACTTAAAATTAAAACACACACACATAGAGAAATTCGTACATAATGAAAACATTTCCATGTAGGCCTACTGTCAATTTCGATGCATCCTAGATTGTAGTGCAATATCCTACGCAATTTAATTTCAGATTTCCTGATTTATCTGGAAAATGACCATCTCTGACCGATAATCAAGTCACTAAATCTTATGCAACACGAGATCACAAACTTATATGAAACCTCATTATAAAAATAAATTAACCTACTACATATAAAAGGAAAGTGTATAATTGTAACACGACAAGGCTTCTAAACAACCCTAGATCCCCTATGAGTTGGAGAATGAAAAACAGAAGTTTAAAAAGTGTTACTTGCACAAAAAAGTGACATCGAAGAAAACAATAAGACTAATATATCCATAACTAAAATTTTGAAAGACTACTATTAAATTCAGCAATGCTTGAACCCCAGCTACCTCTTTCGAAAGGCAGTCTTAAATTTAAAAAACACCCAAAAAAACTGCAACAGTACAGTATAGTGCATATATATTCTAAAATAAACAGTTATCTCATTTACATTCTTGAAAACCTCCCATTCAAAAACACATTACCTTTGTTTTTGTTGGCCGCGGTGTATGAGAATCCAGCTGCTTGGCCTGTCTTTCTGCCAAAGAGCCCATTCAGATTTGGTCCAGTCTTATGTTTTCCTCCTGCCTCAACAGTGTGGCACTGAGAGCACCTTTGCACAAAAAGCTTCTTTCCCTTGTCAGGATTACCATCTGGAACATCAGCCATTTTCCTGAAACAAAGGCATGAGGTTCTACATTAAAAAATCTGAACAAAACCTCATAGAGTATAGAACACCCCCCCGATCTCTAAAAAACCATTCTTCATTCACTTTTGTTTCCGCAGTCAATTGTAATCTGACCGGAATGGAACATCTTGGCCTGCAAACTCATTAATTTTATAAAGGTCATAATCAACATCGTGCTGTTACAATGCAGCTAGTAGCTAACTAAATTGGAATGGCACTCTTTCTTTTCGAAGTTGGTCATAAGTGTGGGAAATTTTAAAGCTGCATAAAATATCATCCAATAAAAATGTGGGTCTTTCAACAGTTCAATCATCGTGCTAGTACATTGGAATTCAGATTCAATGAAATCGTCCGACCTGGCCTTTTGTTGAATCCGAGTGTTTATTATAGCAATAGTCAATAGCAAATATAAGCCAATAAGGTTTTTGTGCAAATAATTATCGGCACCGAGCAATTAATGTATAATGTGCAGTAGAGTCCATGAATCTTGAACATGAAAATAATAATGCCCGGTCCTCCCGTTTTCTTCGACTTCACGGAGTATCCGAACACTCAGGACCGGGAACACGCAACACTCGAATCTCTAACAATGAACATATCCATTTCGCATCCTGAACTAAAGATCCAGCTTTACAGCCCTTCTGGTCGCACTTTGGTGTTTCTTGTTATTGTTACAGCCAAGACGTGGTTCTTGTCTCACCACGAGAGGCTGGGGGAAGGGGGGTGATGCTGACCACACCATATGATTGGCTTGCCACACATGCAATCATGCTGTGGGACGCCTGCGGTGCGGATGGCAAGAGGTACAACTTTCTGTAAGCTAATGAAAAGAGGAAAGGAATGATGTAAGCAGGAGTCAGCTGTGCACACGTGAGATTTTCTACTTTCCACTTAACTTTCATGATTCATCTTCTTGCTTTCACATCGTCAACAAGTTCATCAAGGGAATTAGCCAGGTTAATTGAATGTTTCTTTTACCTCCCTTGATTTTCTCTCTATTTTTTTTTTGTATTTGGGGCTTTAAGGGACATGGCGAATTACACAATTTCCAATACGCGACGAATTCGAGTTACCAGTGTTTGACTGTACTCCACTTTCTCGATCAAAAGTAGGTTGGTTTCAAATGAGAGGCATTTTCATTTCTTCGATACCGAAGAAATGCTGGAAAATTCGCTGAATTCTACCAAGCAAACACTGTACAAAAGGGCAGATATATTCAAATGCACTCCTGTGTCATCTATAACCTATCATTTGCCGAATGAGTTATGCTGCTGTGTAAAGCCTAGCATACGACATGTTTCCACAGGCCACTGCGCAATTCATAGATCTATGTCAGGACTACTTCATCATTGTAATACAGTGGAGTCCACGAGTCAGGAAAAAAACGAGAAGTCTGTCATAAAGACACTATTCTAAAACCCTGTTTTTTCTCCTCTTTACTTTTGTAAATAAAATACTGCTATTGCACTATCAGACAAACATGAGAGTCGGTTATAGCGGAATATTGCTGCTGCTGTGCAGAGTGCATAGGCCAATTTTACATAACGTAAAACCTCGCCAATTTGAGAAATTTGTTGGTGATCTTGCAAAACAAAGAAAAGGAGAGCCCATGTGCGTCAATAATGAAGGCCGGAGCAACTGAATAGGGAGGGTTTGGCATGCGCAGACAAGCAGAACGCATCGTGTGATATGCCAGCGTAAGCCTAGTTTAGATTATCAAGGCCTACCATGCCTCTCACTTCTCCGATGTGGGGATGGAGAGGTCACAGCAATGTGATGGACGGAGCGAATGTGTGACGTGTGCAAGCAGACAGAATGCACCACAGGGTGTGGTGGGGTGGGGGAAAATACAGCGGGTGAGTTAGCCCAGAGCCCTTCCTTTCTGGTCGCCAACGCCGAGTTGTCAGTCCACATTGCTAGATTTAGCGCTACAGAAAGAAACCTGATTCGATTTTTGATCAAGTAAGACCTAGAGGTCATGTTGAAACAAAATCATCAAATGGGGAGATAGCAAAAGGAAATACACAGAACACTAAACTCATAGATTAGGCCTACTTTACAGTTTCCCTTGAACTTATTACTGGATCCCTGAGAATCCTGCTATAACGGACATTTTGCTCCGATCCCCTCCCTCTCGTTATAACAGGATTTCACTGTATTGTAGTCTCTCCCAAGGTTATATAATGACACTGGGTATTAAATGTAAGCAAATGTAAAGTAAGACAAGAGTTGCAACACATTGAGGACATTATTTTAAAGTTAAGTTAGGTAAGTGAATTTAAATTCAAGTTTCTTGTTAACAATTTTTTTCTAACGTTCACTGGTGAAGGGGTCGGGATAATCCGGCTTGGCCTCAACGATTACCACATTGCTATTCTGCAAGCAAGAGGCTATTCTCCGGCATCGCGCCGGTCAATAGATCGAAGCTATTCTCCGGCGTCCTGTATAGTTGCACATGTTGCTTCTTCACAGGATGGAGGGATTTTTTTTTACATGAAAGATTTTAGTTTTTGCTGGGTGACTAAATGTAAAATAAGTGACTGCAAAGGTCGATCAGTCTTGTTTTCTCACAGTACCTTTTGAAGGTACAGTCGAACCTGCCTTAACGGAATCTCCCCGCTCCCCCCTTGATATATTCCTCTTTATTTACCTGTATAAAACGGAAACCTGTCCAACGCGGAAGCGGAAAGAAAAATCCGCTCCCTACCGAGGGTTTCACCTGTCTAAGACGGAAAATGCTTTGCCCGCTCAGCCCTGATTTGAAACAAAACTCGCAAGTTTTGTTCCGCCGGCTTTAAACTAATGCTATGGTCATGCGGCTGGGCGAGAAAGGGGAGCAGTGGTGCAATTTGTGGGTAGATGTTACCCCATCATATGAGCCCTGAGCGATGCAGATGGTCAGTGAAGTGTGGGTGTGAAATCTCACGACTGCCCGTGAGAGTGCTCGAGGAGCCAGCCACTACAGAAACTTTCCTGTGTCCAGAAAGAAGCCAGGGGTGTGAAATCAGATTGACCAGTGCCTGCCGCCCTGATCGTACGGCCAGCAGAGAAAAGAGTTCCTTGAATCGTTGTTACAATGATGGCAGTAAGGGGTGGCATTGGTGGGTGGGGCTAAGAATGGAAGCAAGGGAGACGTTCAAACATTTCTGTTTTTAATAGGTCAAGCAGTGGTCCCATGAAAGGCAAGCACTGGTGTTAACTGGATAAGTATGACTAGCGCATGTCAATGTCAGACAGGATACCAATTGAGAAGTGTGAAGTTTTGACCACTGCTTGCCGATCGGACAAGTGATCCTTGATCCCACCGGCTGGGCCTTTGAACCCCCCCCCCCAACCTCCATCTCCTCCTAAATTCCCATAAATAAGACGTAATTTTTTTCTGGCTCCCTTGCGATTCCGTCTTACACAGGTTCGACTGTATTTTCAAATGAAGTATAGACTCTAGAGTCTAGATCTAGCTCGATCTAGATCTGTCTGGGAACATGGCCCCAACCACAACTGAAGTATCTGAATATTCAGACATTTAATTTAAGAATCTCTAGCTCTCTAGCTCTAAAAAATGCTTCTTCCCAGTCCTCGCAGAATGGCAGAATGAAAGATGACGCCTAAATCTCACTATATAACCAAAAAATCTTGAGAACAGAAACCTGCCAGTCTAGCCGTACTTAGATCTAGGTAGTTTGGCCCTATCGACTCAAGCCTGTTTAGTACACAGATCTCATTAAATCTAGATCTAGTAATTATTCAGGTTCAAATACATGCAAGTCAGTAAGGCACCTTTTGCCTTTTGGTTCTGTCTGAAATACTAATACTTTAGGCATTGCAAACAAAAAATTTCATTTACAATTCAGCCATCAATATTAAGTACAGCTAGACTGACAGTCTAGCCGTCCTGAAACTTAAGTACAGCTAGACTGCCAGTCTATAGCCGTACTTATCTTAGGCCCTATTTTTAACATTAGAAAACAGGAGGTTTAAAATACATCATGCACTGTCATTAAAGCACCTGGTTTCGTCTCAAATACAAATACTTTAGGTACTGCAAAATATAAATTTATATTTACAATTCAGTAGGCCTATTTTTTTTTAATGGTCAGTCTAGCCATCATAATAAGAATAAGACTGGATATAGATCTAGATCTGAAGTCTATATTTTGGGCATTTGTTTTGCAGTGTCTAGACTAGACACTGCGAAACAAATGCCCAAAATATAGATCTAGAAATCTAGATATCTAGATCTAGATCTAGTCCTCTTTTCTTTTGAAGGCGAAGGGGGCAAACATAATGGATATATTTAATGGGAGGACTTCCGCAACGAGCGACCCCTATGAGACAGAGCAGAATTGAGGGCTTGGGGTAGGGGTAGGGTTAGGCCCTACAGCTAACGGTTAGGGTTAGGTCTAGGCCTCTCCTTTATTGTGTTTGATGGGGTGGTTGCTCATTACGGAAGTCCTTCCTATTTAATTACAACAGAATCTACACTGAACACTGACACCATCACTACCACACCACACTGATTTTAACACTTGAAGACTTGACTTGATCTGACAGTGACAGTGTCACCCCAGGGGCCAGTGTCAGTTATCAGTGAGAACTTTGAGAACAACCAAGTGAGTGACAACAAAATAGAAAGTAGAAGGTGCCTAGATCTAGATTTAGATCTAGATTCTAGATAGATCTAGAATAAATTCAAGCAAGAAAAAACCCAGAACATACGCTTTTAAATTTTCAGTCAATGGCAAGAAAACGTGAATGTTTATTAGAATCTAGTTCTATTGTATCGTATCCTGCTTTCAGGCTACGACTACGACCTTCATAATAATGAGGTAAGGACACAGGCACTGACATTGTCAGTGTCAGGACGAAGCTGCTGCGGGTCAAAAGTGTTTCAAAGTTCACGGGGTGGGGCTAGTGTGTTTAAACAAGTGGTAATAGCTGTTGGACTATTAAAGCGATTCTTTTTTTTTCTTCCGATACCATGATGATTGTAAACGTTTACAGAAATGAGACTGCCATCGGCCTCATTTCATAAATAAGCTTACGTGCTCGGAGAACCATCAATGGATGAATAACGAATGGTACGAACGGAATCGTTTGTCGCAATCATTCAGTTTGCTGTTGTGTAGATCACTCTAGTTAATTAAGATCATAGAAATATCATATTGACACATTTGCTCAGAACATGTCAACATAAAAAGGGAAAATATTTAAGGACTTACTTTGATTTAACTCGAGGACCTCAGAATGTTCCGGCCGCTTCCCTTAGAATCGATGGCAAAGTGAAACGTGATGAAACGAAATGGAGGTCACCACCGGACGTAGGCGAAAGTCATGCTTCAACGTTGCTGATTATGCCAGGTACAAATCCCATAAAAAGGCCAAATATGTTAACATCGCTTACCTGGCATTTTAGTTGTCCGAATAAATAGACTAATTAAATTAAAACTTCTTGAGACGTATGCATTTTGCTCAGAAGAGAATTTTATAAAACCTAGCCTACTCCTTTTATAAGGTGGATTGGAGGAATGAGGCAAACCAATAAGTTAACAAATTAGACTCTAAAAAGCTTTCAAATTTACCTAGATCCGACGCCTCTACACACACCCCCCTCCACGACACCTCAAGCTGTAGAGCCATAAGTGAAAAGTAGTGAGCTTACATTTTATCATAGACCTATAAAGGTGTAGTCTGGGTCTATGGTAAATGATGACAAAGCGTATTGCTATTCTGAGCGGCATGAGTTTCTGCATAGAATAAAGCATTTTAAATTCACAACATACGGATGTCACGGGCCGTTTTAATAGATGATTAGTATCACATTTGTTCACAATTATACTGTCATGTGTACGTATACTGAAACTGTAGCTTGTCATAATATATAGTCGTTAAAATGTCTAAGCCTACGGAATTTAAAAAAAAAGTGGTTTCAGAAAAGGTACCAGTTTTAAAAGATAAATAAGAATGGCACGGTATTCAAGATTTCTATTTCTTTCAGCCAAATTGGCAGCTTTTAATCTTATTCAAAGGATTTCCCTGACGAGTCCAATAATATATGACATGGTATTGAGATACAAGGCATGTATATTATTTTTCTTTCTAGACCAATATACACATTGCTATGAAATAGTCTGGAACATTTACAAATTTCACAAAAATTTTAAGACGGATTCTAAGATAAATCTAAGAGTTTAGGAGAAACCTTTGAATCATTTTGAATGCTTCCCCCCTCTCATATAATGAGCCATGCCTCCGGAGATTACCGAACATTGTAAGAAGATGTTTATGCAATGTTCCTTGATATATAATTACTCGTATCAAGAAGTAATATTAATACAGTTACCAAACAAAACAATGATATTAAAAACAAAGAGGTACTTAGTATTTCGTAAAACTGTGAGCTTAAATTAGATGACCTATTTTGTTGTGTAAATCGTGTTTCCTAAGCATACACATAGAATATGCCAATTGTGCCTTTTCAAAAGCACATGGAACAATGAAAATCGCCGAAACATAACCTATACAGTGATCTCGAACATATGGTGTTAAAGTTATTAATATTTTTTTGGTTGTTTCACAGGCACACTAGTTTGGGTGAATCATGGGCTATTTCTCATCAAACAACAACACAGTGCATGCATGTTGCACTTTTGTACGTGTGTACGTGGATGTTTTTTTGGTTTGTTTTGTTTTCTGTTGTTTGGG